AACGCGTACAGACAGAAATGTGGTTGATATGTAAAAGAATGTTTAAGCAGTAATGTTAAAAATCATATAAGAACAGGTAACAATAGACGTCTAGTAAATATTTTGACCTGTCACGGTATAAAAGTCTATATACAATGACAGTTCAAGTTATACCGGACAATTAAATAAAAGAAAACATTGGAAACTATCGAAAGACCGCCGAGCGATCTGTTAATAAGAGAAAACAGCAATTTTGGCTTGAAAAAAAAAATTACAATGTAGTGTTTGACACACGTGGGGACTTCGATGAAGCCTAACTAGTCTAGACATGTGTGACGATTGAAGACGACAGGACGCTCCATAACAACATACAGAATCAAACTGCATATCTAATGAGAGCACAGATCTAATTTTAATAATTACGGCTCAATTTTGACCTCTAGGTGACTACTAGTTATTGTCAATCTTCATGAGCATTCCGTAATAGCCTTTACTAGTCCACTGCTGGACATAGGCCTCTCCTTAGAAAGGAGGTTTCGGCCTACTATACCATGCTGGCCAGACGGGTTGGTATAGGGTTTTGTTTTAAGTTTTCCGTGTCTTTGCAGTGCTGTTGTCCTGCGTAGTTTGCTCCCTTAGTCGGCTCTTACGACACCCACGGGATGAATAGGGGTGGTGACATTGTATTCTTAATCCGTCACCACACGGATTCCGTGATATATAATACTAAATCCAATTTATATACAAATCACTCAGAGGTCAAGAATTTAGACTAGTACAACCACCATTCCTTGCGAAGCTAAAACGTTGACTTAAGTTAGGAATCACGAAATGGATACAATGTGACTGCAAAAGCACTACTACACAAAAATTATGGACGAAAAAATTAATTTTGTATTTATGATGCTTCAATATTAAAATTATATTCTTAAAATTGGAAATCCAACCGTTTACAAGTTAATATAATAAACTCAGACATCTCAGAAACGGCCGTCTGATCCCAAACTAGGCAGAGGCTGTACTATGGTAACCAGACTGCTGATAAACATACTTATATATTTCTAAATACATACATATTATAGATAAATTACACACATCATTTGTCCATCACACAATTATTTGTCCTGGGTGGGAATCAAACCCACGACCTTTGGCTTAGCAGCCAGGATCACTAACCACTAGACCAACAGGCCCGTCAATATGAAGAATCTCTTGGTCCAGTGGATGGTTTGTAGACTGAAAAACCTAGATTGTGGGTTTGATTCTCATGGAACCATCAACTAAGGGTGTAATGCAGTTCTGATGTATATTAAAATACTCAAGTGTAGTTGTCAGCAGTCTGGTTCCCACCAGACGGCTGTGTATGAAGAGTCCCAGGCTCTTGGCAACTTGAATACACGTCCTGACGCGACTTTTCATACTTCTGACAAACTCGTTCATTCGTTCTTGAGGAAGTTTTTATTCTCCAATGGCGATGCTTATATTCTTCTATTCCCTTCTTTACATGGATTCAAGAGACGTCCTGGCTATTGTTATAGTGTCCTTGAACACGAGGAGTCAAACCTTGGGAGCACCATAGCTGTAGTATCCGCTCAATATAAGGACTACTGTTTTAATGGACCAATGGCGTGCGAGGACCAACAAACCGCTGTCAGTAGTTGACGAAGATTTTGCTGGAGAATCTTTTTTTTCGCAGCATTTGAATACCCATTCTTCAAAATAGTCATTTTTTTTGTTATTTCCGTGTTAAGTAACTGTTTTATAAGATTTTTTCATTTTTATTCGAGACTTCCCAATCTAGGTAGGGGTCGGCTTACCGTCTACTTCGAATCGGCGGAACTTGGATTTTATCCGTGGAGCGACTTTCGTCAGACCTCATAACTGAAGTACTAGACGATATGGAAGTAACAAGATAAAATATTTTTAAAGATTTGCTATTGGCCGTAGTATCCGCCGGCCTCCTTTTTAAGGAGAGCCCTTTTTTTATATGGGACTAATTCCACCCACACGCCCATCACTGTAACTCCTGTACACCAGGATCCACAGCAGTGACCCACGAACACACAGAGTTATGACACTCGGGAAGTCCCAGGAAGAAATTAAACTGTCTTGGAACCCGCAACGAAATTAATCAGAAGAAAATTGGAGGAGTTGGAAATACAGTAAATCCACTTCCCTCCTTAGCAAAGCGGAGACAAAATGAAGCAAAATAGGCATACAGTGAGCCTACCTACGTGAGCTATGTTTGATTTCTATAATATGTATGGCAGAATCGCCTAAACGCACGGAAATTCACCCTAGTTGACACAAGATCCCCATAGTATACCGCCCCAGATGTCACCTGCAAGCTATTCAGCATTATATTACGTTCATTATGGAGAGGCCTATGACCAGCAGTGGACTATTAAAGGCTGTTGATGATGATCCGCCGGCCTATCTGTGCCGAAGTATGGCTCTCCCACGGTAAAACTCCTCTTCACTCTTATGTTAAACAGACTTTTAAATTGAGCGGGCTTTGAACCAAATACAAATGTTTAGAAAACGCGTTGTATACTAAATAATTATTTTTATTTAAATAAAAATATTTAATCACTGTAGGAATACCAAATTTAAAATTAAACAATAAATCACAACCAAAATATTTATTAGGAAGTTTAAAAAGAATATAAAAACCATAAATAACAAAGAGTGTAAACCAAAAAGTGCCCTGCTTGTTTTAGACCCTGATTCAAAAAAGGAATGGCGGCCATCTTTTTCAAATAAGGCGGTACATATTTAGACCTTACACAAAATGGAAACAAGCCATGCAACGATTTTTATAGAATACTGTATACATTTTATATACAATAAAATTCATTGTTATTTAAAAAAAAAAACAATTGTAAGTATTGTATAGAAGTTATTTAAGTCTCACCCACGACCCTCTGATCACAAACTAGGCAGAGTCTATTCTATGGTAACCCGACTGCTGATGAACATACTAATATAATAATTATGATGTTTTATAAATTACATTCAGACAGAAAAAACGATCGTGCTCATCAGACAATCAGTGGGCATCGAACCCATGGCCTCTGGCTTAGCAGTCGGGAACCCTAACCCCTAGACCCACACGCCTAACATATATATTTAAACAACTTCATAGATTAGTTTTTTTATAATAGTTTATTTTTAAAATGTTTTCTAAAGTCGAAACTGTAATATCATTTTGATCTTTACAGTAGGCATGGGGCAAAATCACAGTGAACTGTGATTTATCATTCGATTTGTTCGTACGTAGTTACTACTTTCGCGTTGATGCTAGTAAGCTGTTTTCAGACGATGCATAAAGACCCTATTTTATCTATTTAACAGGAAATCAAGTTTTTGACGTGACAACGTCTTATAATTCGATGAAGCCGGCTGCACGCACGAAAAAACATGACGCATGCGGCGTTACCTCGCTCTGAGGCGTTCCATTTAAGGCTTGAAGTGCAAGCGAGAGCGCGGAACGAGCGACAAAGAGGCACAATCGGCCTCCGCGTTCGGCAGCGTTCGACATCTGTCTCTCTCCTACTTGAGTCAGCGATGCGTCCGCGTGGACAGCTGCTATACAATAATACATTTACCTGTTTTCGTCAAGTATGAAGCGTAATTAAAATTTTCTTTTGAAAAATGCAACCTTTCCATCAGTATTTTCTTATGACGTCGTCACGTTCAACTATCGTCAGTAAACCGACTTTACAGACAACCGATTTTTTTATAATTATTATGTAGGGAATGGTAGCTAAATATAATAAAATAATTACTTGATTTTTTGTCAAATAGGCGAAATAGGGTCTTTATGCATCGTATGAAAACAGCTTATTGGCAACACGTGAGTAAGTAGTAACCATAACCCTCGTACGAACAAATCGAATAATAATAATAATAATGTACCACATTCACACAACGCCATCTAGTCTCAAACTAAGCAGAGCTTGTACTGTGAGTACTGGACAACTGATATAAATACATTTATACTTTTTGTTTTGTAAATACATACATATTATACACAGAAACACCCAGACCAAATCAAACATTAAATGTTCATGTACACAAATGTTTGACTTGAGCGGGAATCACAGTTTACTTTTGTCCCTTGTATACAGAGTCAATAGAAGATGCATTTGAAAAGATTTCTGTAAACTTAACTCGTTTTCGGCAAGTGTATGGCTTGGTACCTGTTTGTGTAAGTAGATTCATTTATTCCTGATCTGCTAGAAGTTATTGGATGTTTTTGTAGAAGAACTATTCAAGATGTTTAAACTTCACAATGCAATGAAAGCCTACTTTCGTCTTTGACGTTATGCGAGTTATAACTGATATATATAATTAACAGAATTATTCGAGAAATTGCTCCTAGAGAATAAGATAAAAAATAATAAAAGGAAAAACTAAGTTATAAAAAAAAAAAGAATTAAAAAAAAAACAAACGTAATTAGAAAAAGATGATATGATATTCATTTTAATTATTATTCATTTTCTATTGTAAATAATATTTTACAGTTTTATTTTCGTTCGGTCGTTTTTAATTATCAAACCGAACAATCAAAGACATTAATTGCCTACTCTTGTCCCAATTTCAATATAGGGGGAGGGGGAGGGGGGGGGGGGCAAATCAATTATTAAAAGTAAATATAGAATTCATTTATAGACAAAACAGTTTAGTACCTTTCTGTTCTGTTTCTGAACGTATTTTCTTTATTTCAGTGAGTAAGTAAATAGAAAGACTTACAGTTAGTAATAAAAAGGTTTAGAAACAATAATTTTGCGAAACCTTCAATGTAGAATGTTCATATAATATATAATTAATTAAAATTAAAATTGGCAGGTCAACAACAACAACATTATTCATAATTCGTTAGTTCACACAGCACGGGCCGTATAAATTAGAAAATATTTTGACTGGACCAGTCAAAACAAGTCTACGTGTGTGATACTCTTCAGACTCACAAATTGTCCTTCCTTAGGTTACATATAAAAACTAATATCCTTACACTCTAGTCGGAATTGTAATTGGTTTCTTGCATGAGAGGCTGCATGTCCTCACGTTTGCGATCGCCGCGGTTCGATATCCGGGTCACGCCTTCGAGTACGCCAATCTCAGATAAACTGTGGACAAGTGTGCTTACTTAATTAAATTATACTATTAATAAAGTCAAACTTTCTGTTTTCAGTAACTGAATTCTGCTATCATATTAACACGGTCACCAACCGGTTGAGAAGAGTGGCGCCATCTGTGACCGAGTAGCGGAACTAATCGTATGTTTTAGAAATAGTTCGCACATTCCAAAATTTTATATGATATTCTGGAGGTTGAGGACCGGCTCAGTTGTATAAGAGACTACTGTAACTTTTGATAATGCCATAACCGGTCAGCTCAAATTAAAGTACATAGTGGAATATAAGTACAAATAACTTCAATTTCATAACTATTGTTGGGCTCAAATTAATCAAGCTGGGCATCTTTAAAACGCATGTTTAGTCAAAATAAAATTTGCCATTTGAAGTGTATTATTCATCAAATCGTCAAGAGAATTCAGATGACGGGGTTCGTGACGTGGAATAAAGAAAATTTTAATAATATTGTACTACCTTCACACAACGCCATCTAGTCTCAAACTAAGCAGAGCTTGTACTATGGATACTAGACAACTGATATAAATACATATATAGTTTTTTTTTGTAAATACATACATATTATACATAGAAACACCCAGACCAAATCAAACATTAAATGTTCATGCACACAAATATTTGACTTAATCGAACCCGCGACCTTTGGAATAGCAGTCCGTTACACAAACCACTACGCCATCCGGTCGTCCATCCATCAATTTTAACTTCGAGATATTCATGCATCAGCAAATATGGTGCATTAGGAATATATCCTGTGTCGCGGGGGACTTTATAAACAAACATGAAACGGACACAAACCACACCCAGACTGAGAACAACAATTTCTGAATCACACGTGGGACTGTGAGGATCGAACCCACGACACTCAGCGCAGTAGAAAGCCGCGAGCTTACACCACCACGCCATCCGTTCAGTCACCGTTAATCCGGAGTTAAGCTAATCTATCGGGGGCACTCGGGCACTTGAAGACCAGCACCGCACCTACTGTCCCTGAGCAGCGGTAGTCATGTACCCTCAGAGGACCCCTCTTGCAGAATTTGTTCGAGTCATCATCATCATCATCATCAGCCTATCCCAGTCCACTGCTGGACATAGGCCTCTCGAATTGCACGCCACTTAGATCGATTTTGATTTTGATCGATTTGTTCAAGTATTAAAATATATTTTATACTTACACTTCTGGCTGTACGTCGTCAATGTGTGTGGGCGTGAAGTATGGGTTCGCGGCAGCGGGCCGGAACTTATATCCGGTCATGACAAAGAATACGAGTGTCGCCATCTCTCGGAACATCTCGTCAATCCACGCGTACTGGAATGGTACTGTTATCTGAAACAATTAGAATGTTTGACAAATTTCTTTAGGATCGTTTTGATTTAAAAGTCCATGAAACGAAAATGCGTCACGATAAAGAAACAAACACATAAACGTATAGGATTAAGTCGGCGAGAGAATGAGATAGAATACATTACACATTATTTTTAATATAATATTTTGACAGAGTAAATATTTTTATGTTTTTATTTACTACTAGCTGGAATTATGAATAGTCGCAATTGGAAACGTAAAATACGCTGCCTTAGTGGGTTCGATTCCCGGGCCGGGCAAAAATTTATAGGGATTTTCTGAAAAATAAAAAAGATAAATAGCCTAAGTTACTCCTAATATTTTTTTCGGAAGTTTCAATTTTACACACACACACTTTTTTACAACTATTTGACGGGCCCGTTATTCTAGTCGTTAGTGACTATAGACTTAAGGCCGGTTTAAAACCAACTAAACCAATCCGGTTAAAACGAAAAAAAACCGTTTAAAACCGAAATAAACCATTTTTTTTCGATTTAAAACGGTTTGTGTTGATGTTTTTCTAAATATGACGGAGTGCCTATAAACTGTGTACCTTATTTTTATATGTGTGATATACTGATATTGATATACTTAGCGGGTTTAGTTCTAGTTGTTCCGTCGGGCCAAGCGTTGGTATTACCTACCTCATCATCATGATCATCAACAGACTTTAATAGTCCGCTGCTGGACATAGGCAGCTCCTTAGAAAGGAGGTTTTGGCCTACTATACCACGCTGGCCAGACGGGTTGGTATAGGGTTTGTGTCAAATTTTCATTCTCTTTACAGTGCTGCGTAGTTTGCTACCTTACTACACCCACGGGATGAATAGGGGTGGTGACACTCCGTATTCTTAATCCGTCACCACACGATGATAATATCTAGGTTATAAAAACTCTATTGATTAGTTAAAACTCTGTTTTGTAAATGAACATTTTTTTCATCGTTTTCAAACGATATAAATAATCAATTTGATTCGGTTTAAAACCAAACTCACACTCTCGCACTCATGCGACGGCGTTGAGGACATAACGTTGTCTCTTTCATGCGTATAAAAAAAAAAAAAAAAAAAAAAAAAAAAAAAAAAAAAAAAAAAAAAACTTTATTCTGCAAGAGAACAGCATACAACTTAATATAACTAACTTAATACTAACCTTATACAACTACAATAATATTACATTTTTTTAAAGTGCAACACTATACTACGCTATCTGTGGTTTAGTAGTCTATGAGACTGTGATCATATATGACGTGGCGCTGACGCGGTGATCACTATTATTTTTGGTACTATGTTTTGCCACATAGATAGCTTGTGCGGATGAGAGTTGTACGCTGTGTCCCACAGAATAGGTGGACCCTCAGCATTTACTGTGATGGACATGGTCCGTCCCAGTACTGATTTTCAGTGCCCACCAGAATTACTGATTTGACGCCGACAGCCGCAATTACCACTGGATATCTCTTATGTGCTGCTTGTGATGTCATGTATGACACAAGGACTGGATTTGGTAAGTAGGCTATATTGTAAAAACAACTTAACGCTAGCACAACAAAAAAAAAAAAACAACCAAACTTATAAAACTACAATTGACTGTCACGTATTAACTACAACTACAACTAAAACTAAAACTTATCGCTTACTGTATGGTTATTATTATTATACCTATTAACTTACTAACTATCCTCTATTTTAGGTTTTCAAAATTGTGAAAGTACGCAAAGAGAAAGACACCGCACAGTCCGCCGACCCATCTCAATCAACCCTCCGTCTGGAGCACAACCAGGCTAGAAATAAGCAGTTGTAGGTGACCCATGAGTTGCTACACAGTGCTGGAATCACCTGTTGATGGAACATAACCTCAGAGGTATGTAAATTTGTTACTGGCGTTTTTGTTGTTCGAGGATGTATTTTCTTAGGTGCATTTTAAAAGTGACTATTGTTTTTAGTTCCCTAATTGGCGGTGGTATCGAGTTCCAGCATTGTGTTGCTGCATATTTAAAACTACCCCGAAACGCTGCTGTTCTGTGTCCTGGTATGCTGAGTGCTCTGGCTGATGGTCTGATGGAGTATGAGAAGTGGTTATGCCTCCAGTCTATTTTCTCATACAAATAGGTGGGACTGCTTTTTTTAACTACACCAAACAGTAAGCTGGCTAAATGCAGCTTCCTTCTGGCTTCCATCTTAACAATATTATGTTCATTGAAATATGGTGTTACATGATGACGACTAGGAATCTTAAAGCAGTAACGAGCACAGGCATTTTGAACTCTTTGTATGAGGTTTTTTGTTCTGGCTAATAAGCATGGACCGTATACTACATCACAGTAATTGAATCTGGATAGCACCAGACTGTTTACTAATTGTTTCCTTAATGGTATACTGAGGTAGTTACGGATGTTGTATAAAATTTTTAACCTATAAAAACAATTCCTAACCACATTATTTACATGTGCTTCAAATCTCAGCTCTGGGTCCATTAGTAGTCCTAAGTTGTTAGCTTCATCTACCCTTGCAATCTTCTGTCCGTTTATGATGATAGCAGGGTCAGCCTGCAGTATAGACTGGATTTGTCCCTTACTACCCAATATCATGAACTTGGATTTCACTGGGTTTAGAGCCAAGGAGTGTTCTGCAGACCATCTGACTACTCTTTCTAGATCCTTGTTCATCTTATCCACCGCCGACCTAGTTTCATTAGGCTTAAATGACAAAAACAGCTGAGTATCATCTGCGTACATGTGGTACCCACAATTTAAGAAGCAATCAGTTATGTCGGCTGTGTACAATATGAACAAAAGAGGCCCCAGGATGGAACCCTGTGGGACTCCCCTGGTTACTGCAAGAGGGGGGGATGACACAACTGATCCATCCTGTTTATAAATTTCTACCTGTTGGGACCTATTGGAGAGGTAGCTGTGAAACCACTGGATTGATTCAGGGGCAAATCCATAATATGCTAATTTGGACAGGAGTAAGGATATATCAATGGCATCAAAAGCGCGGGAGTAATCTAGCAAGGCGAGTATAGTTCCTTCTCCGCGATCCCTAGCTTCCAAGATGGTGCCCACAACGTCACACAAAGCCGTTGCTGTTCCACGTCCCTTCCTAAAGCCCGACTGTTTATCTGGAAGTATACCATTGGCCTCCAAGTATTGAATGACCTGCACATATACCACCTTCTCCAGCACTTTTGACAAGCAAGGGAGTAGGCTAATAGGTCTAAGGTCCTTTGTAGTATCCGGAGAGCCAATTTTGGGTATAGGTCGCACTATGGAGCGCTTCCACATGCTTGGGAATGTATGGGTAATAATAGAGGCATTAACAATATCCGTAATAGCTTTTAGTGAATTTGGTAATGTTAGTGTTAGCATATCCATGTTTATTCTATCTATACCAGCTGCATTTGTTTTAATGCTCTGTAGAATTTTAAGTATACTGCTCTGATCTACTGGTTCTAGTTTAAAGTATAGCTCAGGGTTGTACCTGTGAAATTCATAAAATGTTAATTTGGATATGCTCAGTTGTCTCTCGCATGGTAGCTTCATAAAATCTTTATTTATTATATTTGGATCAGTGAAATGGTCCGGTAAAAGTCTATGCTTATGTGATGGAAGCACTTTAGATTTTAAAGTTTTCCACAAGGATTTTGGGTCATGTATCTTGTTATTTATATTATTTGCGAAATATACAGATTTTTCATTATATAATGCTATATTAGCTTGTTGTTTGAGATCCAGATAATATTTCTTTTTTGATGGCAGTTTAGTTCGATGGTACTCAGCCCTAGCTCTGTCCCTCAGCTTAAAAATGAACTTAATGTTGTCAGTTATCCATGGGGTGTACTCCCTTTTGACTAAAGTGTGTTTTATGGGAGCATGGTTGTCAAACAGATTTATTATGTGTTTTGATAAGTCTTCAACCATGCTGTCAATCCCATCCTCTAAGGCTAAGGCTTGCCACGGTATATGCTCCAGATCTGTATTGAAAAGGTCCGGCAGAATGTCCTTGTATGGTCTATATGTAATCCATTTGGGTTTGATTTTGCCCTTCCTAAATACTGACTCACAGGTCACTATCGAATGGTGACCTAAGTTGGGAACATGACTGACCACAATATTTCTCACAGTCATGTCAGTGCATATGACATCTATCAAAGTGCCACTATTTCCTATGAAATGTGTTGCAGTGTTTACTACTTGACTCATATTAGTGTAATGAAGGAACTGTTGCAGCTTTGTAGTGTTTGCACAGCATCCATCCAACATGTTGATATTGAAGTCGCCTAGAAGAATTATGTGGTCAAACGGAGCCAGTGCACCTATGCTGTCAGTCAGACCATCCAAGAACTTGTCAGTAAACATCCAAGGGGGTCGGTAGGCTGTACCGACCAGAACCTTTTTTCCGGCTATGTTTATTGAGAGCCAATACTGCTCCACCTCACTGAGTAAAGGATGACTTCTGGTTTGTACCTTAACCCCATTCTTTATGTAGAATCCTACCCCTCCACCACGACCACCTCGAACAGAATTAGGTCTCGGAGTGTGCCTCAATCTATAGCCCGGTACTGAGGGTGCTCTCCCCTCCTCACCTGGCCTCAACCAGGTCTCATTAATGGCCATGATGTCAACTGAGTGTAGACTCATTGCAATCAAAAATTCATCATGCCTAGTTCCTAGTGACCCTGCGTTAAATAAACCAAACCTTAAGAATTTGTTCTGGACCATTTTTATTTATTATATTTTTCTAAATAAGTATACCATATTACCAACAAATTATCAATATATCTTAGTAGTTGCCGAATGCCTGTGGTCATCATGTAAACCATAAAATGAGTTAAATTAGAATCTATATCCAAAAATATGTTTAATTCAATTTGTTCATTGGTGAAGTTAAGTAAGCGTACAACCCTCATCAAAAACACAACACTAGAGTTAAGGAGATCACAACAACACACACTAAAAAAGTTATTCCATTTTAGTTTCTTAAGATATGTACAATGTATACACTTCACACTATTAGTTATAAGGAAATGCCTGTTATTTTTACCTACTAATAATAATAATACCTTTATGTAAATAGTTTTGTAAATATTTGTATGTAGGAGTTTTATAAAATTTATTTTGTAAACAGTTGTGTTTAGATTTGGCTTAAACATGTTTGCAATCAAATGTTTCCTGTAAATAGCCACATGTGAATATGTATTTTGTTTTATAGTAAAAGTATTTGTAATCTTATGTTCCTTATACATAGTCACATGTGAGTGTGCACTCTGTTCCCCACCTTCAATGATATAAACAACATAAAGGACCATTGCTAACACTGATTTAATTATTGGAAACTGATCCTCACACAGTGCACCCATGATACATTTGTATAGCATGTGAAAAGGCAGTCGGCATTTACAGATTACCTGAGATGTTGATAAACGAACGTACCCCGATGTGATCATGCTAGTCTTTACTGGCGGTAACGGTTTCTTTACCGAAAACCTGTTCCAGATCGGCTTCAGAGCGAATTACATAGGTGCGCTTTCCGTCAGCTTCCTTAGTCAGTACTCTGCCCCGACTCGTCCAGGTGAACCTCCAGCCCAGACTGGCAGCCGCCTGTCGGGCGCGGTAGAACAGGTGTTTGTTTGTTCTGGTGAGTCTCTCGTTGAGATAAAAGCGTCGCGACGGCGCATCTATGCCGAGGTCGGCTGAAGTGGCACCGCGCCTAACGCGCGCGCTCCGCAGAAGCTCTTCCCGCAGCCCGCGCCGCGCCAGCCGCACCACGATGCGCCGACACCGCGCCGCGCCCGCCGACTCGCCTGACTCACGTGACCGCGCCACACGGGGGCCCACGCGCTCTGCGAACACTATATCCCGGTGCTCCAAGGTGACACCTAGTTTCTTCGCTACCAGTTCCACGGAGTGAAACACATTCTCACCGGGACTCTCAGGGAGGTTCGAGATCTCGATGTCAGAGAGCAGCAGTTCCTGCTCTCGTTCACCGAGCTCTGTTTGCAGCTGCTTTACCGTGTGCTCCAACTGGTCCACCGCAACCTCGGGGGAGGTCGCCTGCTTCCTCTCGAGGTCATCCAGACGTGACTCCAGGTGATCGACCTTTTTTTTGTAGGTAGCCACAGTCTGACGCAGGTCAGCCATCTCGAGGCGGAGCTCCCGCAGCTCGGTTCTAATATCTTCCCCCATTTCCTTCATCTCCGCTCTCATCAGCTTTATTTCGTAGGCAATATCAGCACCCTGATCTTGATCTTTACTGGCGGAGCCACCGGTAGATTGAGAGGAGTCATAGGAACTAGTGGGGGAACTCTCATTCTTCTCATTGCGCGTTTCCTTTGCCGAGCTCGGCTGATTGCGGTCCTTGGGGATATTATTTTTGCAGTCTTGGCACTGCCATTCCCTGCTTACCCTCGTAGCATCCGGCAAGCGCAAACAAGGCAGGTGATACTTTTTATTGCATCTGCAAAATACAGCGACACCTTTTGACGAGGTAAATTTACCACATGCTGCGCAGTTTGCCATTTTAATGATATGTAGCAGATAGTTATAATAATAGGTGTAGGTATTTTTTACGAGAGGGGGCAAACGACCAGATGGGTCACCCGATGGAAGTCTAGAAGATCAATTAAACACTCGTCCGTATCGAAGTGTCGCAATTAGTTCTGCTATCGATCAACAGATGGCGCTGTTGTCAGTATCAGTTTAAGGCTTTATTTTAGGCTGTATTACGCAATTTTTCCATTCGTCACGAAATAGACCTATCACCACACACGCGGCGAGGGAGATCAATAGTTCTGGGAGCGACAGAGTTGCTTTTTCACTAATTTAGCACTTTTATTTTGTAGATTAGGGTAGATATTAATCACTGTTCTGATTCGTATTTTATATTTAACTTTATTTAAGAGTACACAGCACTTTAAGACTTGCAAACACTGCACAGTAATGCTTAGGACATAATTAATATTGTGAGCAAATAAATTATTTAAATAAGAGGACTTTATTATTTTTAAATTGAAACATAAACAGAACGCTACGAATCACTACTACCGACGTCAATATGTTTGAACTACCGACGTCAATATATGATGTCAATTGTTAAACGGACAGCATTGTGTCAATGATGTCTTCTAATCTAGTGTGTGTAATATAATATAATAAATAAGTGTAGGTAGGTATACCTACATACTTAAGTTTTCGTGTAGTAGGTAATGTAGGTATGTACTTATATTGATTTTCTATTAACTTATTAAAACGAAACATGACCTCAGAAGACCAAAAAGGTTAAATTACAGTTCTTTTATTTTTGTGAGGCGAGTTTTCAACCGTTTAAAACGATTTATTTGGGGGTTTAAAACGTGTAGCCGTTTCTTTAAAAAGTTTTAAATCGGTTGTTTTAATCTATATTAGTGACCCTGACTGCTAAGCCGGCGGTTTTGATTCCCACCCAGGACAAATCATTGTATAATAAGCACCATCATTTGTGCAGTCTGACAATCTGCTTTACAAACATATATGAAACGGACACATAGAATACTCAGACTCAGGAACGACAATTTGTGGATCACACAAAGTGTCGATCTCCACGATCGAACCCACAACACTCAGCGTGGCGAGGCGACCGCTTAAACCACTACGCCATCCGTGCAGTCAAGGCCTTGTGTTAGGCCTTGCAATAGGGATATAAATGTATTAATATTAATACTTAGGTAGTCGGGATTTTCCCATCTCTGTTGTTCTAGTACCTTCTATTATTATTCCAAAGTCCACTATAACATGACATACTAGCACACATCAAAACAATGTTGTGGTATATTTAATAGTGCCATTGTATCTATCTGTGGATTGCAAAAGAGTGGCCATGAGTTTGTTTGCCCTTTCTTCTCATAAGGCTCAACCCCTTGGAAACGGGCGGTTGTAGATCGGCACAGGCATATCATAGATTTTGTATGAGTTTGATTTTTGTTAAATTTATTTGCTTACTATTTGACAAAACAGAGATTGTTGCTTTTGTGTGTGTTGATCTATGACTTTAGAGTCTACATAAAAGACGATTTCAAACAATTTTGAAAATTTTATGAAATAAAGAGAGTTTGAGTTTATGAATCTCAGGACCTTTTGTCATCGGGATCATCCCATCTCTGTTGTTCTAATACCTTGTCTTATTATTCCAAAGTCCATTGTAACAAGGTCTACTTAAATCTATACTAATATTATAAAGCTGAAGAGTTTGTTTGTTTGTTTGTTTGAACGCGCTAATCTCAGGAACTACTGGTCCGATTTGAAAAATTCTTTCAGTGTTAGATAGCCCATTTATCGAGGAAGGCTATAGGCTATATATCATCACGCTAAGACCAATAGGAGCGGAGCATAAAGAATGTTTCAAAAAACGGAGAAAATTTATTACTATTGAGAGACGCAGACGAAGTTGCGCGGGTCAGCTAGTTATTATATAAAGTTACTTGGTTTGACTGATTAATTCATCAACGCTGACTCACGGCATTATGGATGTTAATACCAATAACCCAATAAAATAAAAAGACTAGATGTGTCAAATTATTAAGAAAATCTGCAGAAAGTCTACACGTAGTTACAACAAACCCACGCACACAAGTAAGTGAATAATATATGTGTTTGTATGTTTAAAGCCACTTACATTCAATATAGATATGACAATCCTGGTGAAGTATATGTAGCATACAACCATCACGTAGAAATGCCTGAACAATTTCAGCTTGCGCAGGTTGATGGCCGCCTTGCCGTCTGTACTCGACGCGTCTTGCAAGTGTCGTATTGACCTGCAAATATATGAAGACATTTGAAAGGATGTACAGTTTTGCATGAATTGGTATATCAACTGGTCAAGTGTTATCATCAACAGAATTTACTAGTCCACTGCTGGACATAGGCCTCTCCTTAGAAAGGAGGTTTTGGCCTACTATACTACGCTGGCCAGACGGGTTGGTATAGGGTTTGTTTCAAGTTTTCCTTCTTTTTGCAGTGCTGTTGTTCTGCGTAGTTTGCTCCCTTAGTCGGCTCTTACGACACCCACGGGATGAATAGGGGTGATGACATTCCGTATTCTTAATCCGTCGCCACACGGACCAGTGTTATAAATACTATATGAACACAACATAGACAGAACAGACAGAAGACAGAAGTGAAAACTTCAAAATTTAAAAATGTTCGATTATTACAGGTTGTTTTTTTTTTTTCCAAAAGTTCCGACTTGAATATAAATCTATGTTGTACGTATATACACAATTTATGTTTATATTATATTAGGTCTTAACCTATGAAATTGCCGTTTTGTATGCAATAAGTGAAAGTACTTATTTTTTCAAACTTTTTTATTTCTGTTATTCGAAGTAATCACCATTGCAATCGACTTGCCAACGCATTGGCAGTTTATTGATGCCCTTCTTGTAAAAATCAGCTGGATGGGACAGTCTCCAAGCTGCAAGAGCTGGGGTTGGAAGCTCTCCCTCATCCGCCATACTCACCAGACCTTGCACCTACCGACTATTACTTTTTCCAAAATTTAGACAACTTTTTAGTGGGTAAAAAATTCAATTCCCGAGAGGCAGTACAAAATGCCTTTGAAGAGTTTGTTGCCTCCCGTCCAGCTGATTTTTGCCCAACGCGCTTAAAGAAGTTTTCTCTTCAACAAATTGAATAGGCTTAAAGATAAACACAGCTCAGTGACTCCATTCCATGAAACAAATCAATTTAGATAAATTTTTGAAATTAATAGTCTCGGAATCTTGGAAAAGGACTGAAGAGGAGACAAAATATATAAAACGTACGTAGAGCGTACTCCTTCCTAAAAGGCCAGCAACGCGTTGGTGACTCCTGAGTTGCAGACGTTCATGGGCGGGGTTGGTCACTTTCCATCAGGTGACCCGTCTGCTCGTCTGCCCCCTCTAACATAAAAAAAAACGTACCATACAACGGGGAACATAATAGCTCCGCAGCACAGCAGCTCCACCAGCACGAAGATGTCCCGCCAGGCGTTGTGCTCCGCGGCACCCTCCTCACTCTCCGCCAAGATGATCTCGGCCACGTTGGCCAGCACCTGCCGAACGAAGAGTACACTTGAGTACCATACACAGCCAGCCCCAGATAGGTATGGACATGTTTTCAGATTATTGTAATTACGAGGTAAAAGCCTAATATAAATATAATTCTTTACACCGAGTAAGTGAGCAAATCTTCTTGTAAAGTAAAAGTAAAGAAGAAAGGAATAAAATGAATCATTCTAGAAGATAAAAGGACTGTTACTGCAGATCTGTATGTTAGTAATTGTCTACCAGTTGTCTTGGAAAATGTTAGACAGCAGCGCCCAAGAAGCAGGATCTTCCTCTACCAGGACAATGATCCAGCTCACTCCACCAGAAGGACTATCGAAGGTGTGGAGCTAGTGAGTAATGCGCTTTACAGGCCCGATCTGGCACCTTGTGACTTATTTAATTCCAAAAAAAAAATCGGTTGTCTGTAAAGTCGGTTTACTGACGATAGTTGAACGTGACAACGTCATAAGAAAATACTGATGGAATGGTTGCATTTTTCAAAAGAAAATTTTAATTACGCTTCATACTTGACGAAAACAGGTAAATGTATTATTGTATAGCAGCTGTCCACGCGGACACATCGCTGACTCAAGTAGGAGAGAGACAGATGTCGAACGCTACCGAACGCGGAGGCCGATTGTGCCTCTTTGTCGCTCGTTCCGCGCTCTCGCTTGCACTTCAAGGCTTAAATGGAACGCCTTAGAGCGAGGTAACGCCGCATGCGTCATGCTTTTTCGTGCGTGCAGCTGGCTCCATCGAATTATAAGACGTTGTCACGTCAATAAAAGATAAACTTAAGAGGAATTTGTTTTATAAACCCTGAAGATGCACTTTGAAAACGGCGTGAAAGAGATCCCTAAAGAAGAATAGGCTTACAGTCAATAGTTCAATTGCATGCGACGCTGCTTAGAAAAAAACGGAGACTATTTCGAATCGCAATTAACATATTTATGGGCTTATATATCATCGTCCGTGTGGTGGTGGATTAAGAATACGGAATGTCACCACCCCTATTCATCCCGTAGGTGTCGTAAGAGCCGACAACAGCACTGCGAAGAGAAGGAAAACTTGAAAAAAACCCAATACCAACCCGTCTGGCCAGCGTGGTATAGTAGGCCAAAACCTCCTGCCTAGTGGACTGTTAAAGGCTGTTGATGATGATGATATCATTCCGTTTTTATTACCAAAAACTTTCAGTGGCCCCCCCCCCCCCCCCGTAAGTACTTCTGTCTCTCTTCGTATTCGTGAACGTTTCCTTAACACCCTATATATTATTGTACAAAGTGGTACCTACCTGCAAAGGTATGACAATCATAAAGAGTTTTTTGTCCCTATCAGAGAGTATGTGTTTGATGAAATTCCATCCGGTGCCGACGAGGACTATCGTGACAAACAGCACCGCGCCCTTTAATCTGAAAACCAAACAGAATTTTATATTGGAACTAGCTGAGCCGGCAAACGTTGTTTTGCCATATACATTATTTCTTTTTTTTTTGTCAAAAACAAAAATTTGAGGTATGAAAAATAGATAAATAATAAAATAAAAATGATAATAACAACTTCACACATCTCAGAAACGGCCGTCTGATCCCAAACTAGGCAGAGCCTGTACTATGGGAACCAGACTGCTGATAAACATACTTATATATTTTAAATACATACATATTATAGATAAATTACACCCAGACACAGAACAAATGACCGTGCTCATCACACAATATTTTGTCCTGTGTGGAAATCGAACCCACGACCTCCGGCTTAGCAGTCAGGGTCACTAACCACTAGACCAAAAGGCCCGTCATGATGATAGATGTTGGCCGATTCTCATAACTACCCGATATGCACACGAAAATTTCACGAAAATCGGTCGAGCCGTTTCGGAGTAGTTCAACCACGCACACCGTGACACGAGAATTTTATATATTAAATAAACAACACTGGATTTGGACTTGTAGTTAGAGGTTTACATTAAAGGGATTGGACTATCCGTATGGCTGATTAGGACTGGTGTGTTGGTCTAGTCACTATTGGTTAGTGACTCTGACTGCTGAGTCGTGGGTTCGATTCAAAGGAAAAATTATTGTGTGATAAGCAACATCACCAGTACTGTGTCTGGGTGAAATCTATAATATGTTTATATTTAGAAATATTTAAGTATGTTATCAGAAGTATGGTTACCATAGTATGGACTCTGTCTGTTATGGGATCAGACTACCGTGTAACTTAAGTTATTGATAATGTGGAGGAACGGGTGTCATGTCTCCCAACACAAAGGGAGGATCCTCCGACCAGGCGAGGTGATCATGCCTGGCGGGCCGCGGCCCAACGGTTGATGTTGGGATATTGTATATATGCTAATCGGTCAGGGAATTCTTTATATCGCGATACAGGATTAGCAATTCTTATTTTAGTAGTTTACTCCGTAGTTCGGTGTGTCTTCATTAGATGGCGCTGTAGTATGTTTCTGTTTCTTTATATGTGGGAGTCGCCACAGATAATATTCCCCAAACCATTTGTATTAGCAGTATGTATGCACTGCCTTCTTTTCTCACAAATCCCTTTTCAATATACTCGTAATTTTCCATCTGATTCCTAGTTCCCATTCTCCTTTTACGGAAGTGGGAGTGGGAAACACGAAAGATTAATACGCCTCTATCTAATATATAGTCGAGTGAATAATGTAAGTAGCACATTCACAGTTTTGACTGAATGTCCAGCAGTCAGGGTCACTAACCACTAGGATTGTGAACCTGACTGCTGGTCATGGGTTCGAATCAAACTCTGGACAATTAATTTTGTGATGAGTACGATCACTTGCTGTATCTGGGTAGTTTTTCAAAAATATGTATATATTCAGAAATATAAAAGTATGTTTTTCAGCAGTCTGGTACCTGGCTCTGCCTAGTTTGGGACCAGACGGCCGTGCGCGTGTGACATTATTCGACTAAATAAAAATGTAAAAAACAAAAACACCACATTACTTACAGATGCGTAATATAAAACAATATCGCCCATGCTGTAACATGTTCTCCCCTCGTCTGAATAAAGTGATAGTTGATCCCGTGGAAGGCCAAGGACAGAGCCTTGAGGTACACTAGCACACACATTATTATGTGTATCCTGTATACAGGCTGTCGACTGGACCTGAGGATGAACGTCCACAGCAGGGCGCTCATGAAGAATACAAAGACATTATGGTGTATAGCACTGGGAGAGGCATCTCGCCAGCTGATAGAAAATTTCCATTGTTGCTCTCGTATATGTGAACCTGAAAAGGAAGATGCAACACGAGATTGAGTACTTTCGATATAATATGCTCAATTTCCTCACCTAAAGCCGTTATCGGTACGGATTCAATGGTATACGCGGTACCGAAAGCTTGCCGAGCGCCTATATTTCAATGTGCGTTTTCTGATTGGCGCGGTATGTGCGGGTGCGGAGAGGTATCGTTTCGTTTTACCGCGTATCGGGATGCGTGTTCAGGCGGCGCTCGACATTATCCGCTCACGGTCGTACTTGCAAGATGGTGGAGCAAGACATTCAAGTCATTTTCGTAATAGAAATATATTTATATCAATATTTATATTTATACATCAATAAAAAAAAATGTCTGCCTGGGAAAGTTATTGAGCCACAACAAAAAGTCGATAATTAATATTGTTTTCGATATTCGACAAGGATGATGAAAGCAACGAGGTTTTGTCTTGGTACAGAGCTTACAGATCCCGCGCCGCTGCTGCACCTACGTCACAAGTCAGAAACGGCCTAATACCTAACACATCCGATTTACGGCAACAGCCTTGCCCCTGATTATGTTAGAAAAAAAACAGGGTCAGCGAAATGCGGGCTTCGAATAAACCTCTGATGACTACCCCTTCGGAGATATATATGTGAGTACACGTATGTAGTCCGCGTGGTGACGAACCAAGAATACGGAGTGTTACGACCCCTGTTCATCCTGTGGGTGTCGTAAGAGCCGACTAAGGGAACAAACTACACAAGACAACAGCACTGAAAAGAGAAGGAAAACATGAAACAAACACTATACTAACCCGTCTGGTCAGCGTGGCCAAAATCTCCATTCTAAGGAGAGCCTAGGGTTAGTATAGTGTTTGTTTCATGTTTTCATTCTCTTTGCAGTGCTGTTGTCTTGTGTATAGGCCTCTGCCTATGTTCAGCAGTGTGATACAGTGATGTGACATGTATGTAAGTAAAATTGTCATTTTTCTATGGCTCGATGTTAATAATTTGTTGGTGAATGAAAGACGTGTTCTTTTTCTACTCGATATTAGAATAGGCGTTCCTCTGCCAATTCTACTATTGGAAAGCTACCACAAAGACGAAAGTGGAATAAAGACGAGTATATAACATAAAATAAATTACGATAAATTAACGTGACACAGGTGCTCGCCCGTCGACGTGCGCAATCACACTGATTTAGTCCGACCCATTGCCACCGCAGTGTACTTATAGCATTATACATAGAGTGGAGCGCAGGTCTTCCTGGAACTACTTAATTATATCGACTGGGTAGAGGACTCACAACCTTCTTAAGATCGTATGTTCTATCGCTAGGCTCCCAGCGGTCTGGTCTTTTTAGAGGTCAATGAAAGACGCCTCGGTCCAGCTTTGATGTATATTGAGATTGACTTACCACCATGTTAATCGTTGGTGCAGGGCCCACGCTGGTATTAGGACAATTATGGAAGTAGAGATTGTAAAGACCTTGCTCCTCTGTTGTGGCCACGTAGAGTGTGAACTGTTGATAGAAATAAAAATAATTATACAACTAAAATAAAATATCGACCTATACTTATGTGTGAGAGAACATGTTATTATGGGTTTTAATACGATAAACACAGAATTAATCTCTCGTTATCGTTATTTGTTGGAAAAGAAGTCTTTCTATTGCCTAAAGAAGAAGTCTAAACTTATTTTACATAATATTATGTATAAACAATAAGTACGCCAAACAACGCTAACGCTAACCATATTTTTTTCAAAAAGGGTCAAAGGATTTTTTTCATGTAATAATATATAAACGACGGTGTATTAAAAATGATCTACACTTTTTATCAACTCTTCTAGCACCTATCCTCTTATTTTTCTGTGCGGCAATCCTCTAGATACCACCCACCGGTGGCTATATCGGACTCGAACCTACCAAAAACCGAACGCCGTCTCAAGCACCAGCAGCCGGAGAACCAAGTGTACTCTATAAACTCCCTGGTACCCCGACGGAACCCAGGCCATTTACGGCTTGTAGATGACCCCCTCACATGTAGGAACCACGGTGCTCCCACTTCGGTCGTTCTGCGACCTCCGGCACCTGAGTCGGCGGACCGGGAGAGTTCTAAATCTCTCGCCAACCAATTTAAGTTCACAATAACGATAATTACGCTTGGAGTGCTATTACGCAATAGTTCATTACATGGAAGATAAACCGATCAAGGTAAAAAAGTGTAATGCCTTGTTTTCGTATTTTAATTATTTTCTGCATATTTTCTTAGAATTTAAATCTTTTACATTCGGCTTGTTTTCGAAACTTAATTTAAATTTATTTACATAGAACCAAACAGAAACAGAACATAGCAGCGCGCAACAAAAGTGTCGTCATACATTTAAATATTGTTAAACTGACTGGTAATTTACTCGTAGAATAGTGGCCCTGAGTTCGTTTGCAGCATTTTTTCAACTATTTAGATACGGGCAGTTAGATAGATATTTTTAATAGTTAACTACTGACTACTGACTGATCTAGTGGTGTCTGCGTATAATTTTTTTATAATACGTATTTAGAAATATATACGTCTGTTTATCAGCAATCTGCACAGGGTCTGTCTAGTTAAGGTTCAGTTTCCGTTGTATGGGATGTGTTAGGTTACAGTAATTAAGTACACAATGAGAACGACTAGAGCGACAAAAATATAAAATGTACATATTTAATTAGTCGTTTACTTTCTGCCGCTGGCGGTTTTATTATTACCTGAATAGTTAACTGACATAATATGCTTTGCTTGCGCTTCGCCGCGTTTATAATGATTTATAAAGATTTATTTTAAAAACGTAGGTACACTAATTGCCGATTCTAAGGATTATTGCAGCACGATTCTCGCATGACAGTTTTAGGTACGGTTTGGCACAGTTTTAATTTTTTTTTGGTATAAGGGGGCAGACGGGTCACCTGATGGTAAGCAACTACTGCCGCCCATGGACACCTGCAACTCAAAAGTCACGTATGCGTTGCTGCATTGAAGTGCCTCCAGCTCGAGTCAGCGGGAGGGATTTGGGCGCCGGTAACCTCACTCAGAATTGCTTAACACCGGTTTTCTGTGAGGCCGTGGTATCACTCCGTTCGAACCGGCCCATTCGCCCGAGTCATGACTCTCCCACGTTCCCATTTAGACAAAGGTGTGATGTTACGAGTAAGCAAAGCAGTTGTTTACCTATAGATACACATGCGTCACAAATAACACACCGTCACTGTCGTGAAGGTCGCTGATGAAGTGGATATTTTATAATATTGTGTAAAATTGGACGAATAACATAGAATCAAGTCTCTCAGAATATAGATGGTATATGTTACTATTACTCAGTACAAGATTACTCCGTGTGGCAACAAATCAAGAATACGGAGTGTCACCACGCCTATTCATACCGTAGGTGTCGTAAGACCCGATTAAGGGAGCAAACTATGCAGGACAACATCACTGCAAACCTTGAAACAAATACTACACTAACCCGTCTGGTCAGCGGGGTACAATAGGCCAAAACCTAATTTCTAAAGAGACCTATGTCCAGCAGAGAACTATTATAAGCTGTTGATGATAAGAACAATATTGGTTACTGTTTAGTGGTATGTGGTTGCGCCGCCAAGACTTAAAAGACACATTTATTGACGAATGGATGGCCATGTATTTTTTTGTTCTTACAGCTACATAGCTCTTTGTGACGCGTGCCACACTTTGAAGACATAAAAAAAAACCTGTAACCAAAGCTGACACCGAACGTTCTACGCAGAACGTCGTTCGCCAAAAGAAAGTTTTATGTACCGTCGTGTATACAAAGAAATATGAAACCAAGATCCTTGTGCGGGGTTAAACAAACGTGAGACTAAAACTAACATACAAAACGGGGTAATGTAACCAGGCTACGACTAAACCGAGGGCTTAGTTTTTAGCCTGGCTCAACACCAGTCACTGAAGACACAATACCCCTCCTAATGTAAATGTGTATGTATATATACATCTGTACGAGTTTAATTTATACATATGTAAGAGTTTAAATGCGGAACACAAATATTGTAACACCTAACCTAAATATTTATGCAGATACCTGTCCACTAGATGACATTGCATGCACTTGCCCTGCTTTAAATAAAACTGATGATGTGAAATCTGTAGGTATCACGACACAAATTTAAATTTTCGCAAACACATAGAGTTTTTATGTATGAGAGTACGCAAACTCATATACATTTTTAAAAACTTACGCAGTATTGCAGATTATTATGTATTAAATCTATTTCTATTTGGTTTTGTGTCAGTCAATATTAACATATTGCATAACTTTGTGAGACCATTTTACTTCCACTTGAACGTGCTCAAAGAGCAATACTAAAGGTAGCCACCTGTCGCCCATTTAGGTTCCCTACTCATCAACTCTATCTGGAATGCAAAGTATTAACAGTTCGACAGTTATTTATATTGCAGAACATACTAAAACAACACGCGGAACTACCATTTAATTCAAAGGAAGGAACGACATTGTTTGTGTCAAACCCCAAACAACGCATAGGTACGTACATTAACAAACTGTATTCCTTCTTAACACCATATCTATATAATAAAATAAACAAAGTTTTGAAAATATATGCCGTATCCTATACAAAGTGTCAAACTGTAGTAGGAAAACATTTAGGTAGGCTTAACTACGCAGACACAGGAAACATCTTAGCAATTTTAAAATGATCTAATTTAAACTATAATTAGGTTATTAAACAATAAATAACATATATTAGTGTATACAAACCAGTCTGAAGTAATTTACATTAACAATCTATTAGAACTTTAACATATGAACGTCCTGTAACTAACATAGTCAAGCGACTACCTGAAACAAAACACCTAGCTCAGGCCGTTTGCAAAATATTTTTTTATATTTTGTTTTCACCTCTTTATATTCAATCTTGCACATTTTAGATTAGTCATATACTAGTTTTATGTTAGCTTTAGTAACAAACTTTATATAAGAATCTAAAGACAATAAGATGAAAAACATATACAAAATGTAACCTAGATTTTATTCTGATTTTGCAAATAAATTTCATTTTATTACATTTTTCTTACTTTTAATTACATAAGTCAATTCGTCTAGTTACTTAGTAAGTGAAATTTGCATATGTGTGTGTATGTATTATAATAGTTAGTTTCACACATCTCACACACGGCCGTCTGATCCCAAACTAGAGCCTGTACTATGGCAACCAGACAGCTGGTAAACATACATATATATTTCTAAATACATACATATTATAGATAAATCACACCCAGACACAGAACAAGCGATCGTGCTCATCACACAATTATTTGTCCTGGGTGGGAATCGAACCCACGACCTCTGGCGTAGCAGTCAGGGTCACTAACCACTAGACCAACAGGCCAGTCGAATTATTATTAGTATAATGTTTTATATGTATTTATGAGTACCAAATTTCTAGGTAGGCGTATTTAGGAGTATCATCATCAATCATCAACAGCCTTAAACAGTATGATTTAGAATACCGAGTGTCACCTCTCCTATTCTTCGCGTGGGATTCGTAATAGCCGACTAAGAGAGCAAACTACTCAAGACACAGCACTGCAAAGAGAAGGCAAACTTGACACGAAAGCTATACCAACCCATCTGGCCAGTGTGGTAAAGTAGGCCAAAACCTCCTTTCTATGGAGAGGCCTATGTCCAGCAGTGGACTATTAAAGACTGTTTTTTTTTGCTTTTCTTCGAATGAGTGAGGTTACAAGACGACTTAACCTTCCCCTCCCCTTTCTCCTTAATTCAGCACACTTGTGATTAGAGTGGCATGTGTCCATGGGCGGCGGTGCTAATTTAATATCAAATGTTGTTTATGGAACAGGTCCAGGAAAATATTGGATATCATGCAGCTATTTGAAATGGTAACGTTTAATAAAGAGTACTGAGCATGCGTATTGCAAGTGCGGGGTGTAAGGGGGTTGCTGTTGCATTCACCACACCACCCTCCGATCGATCGAACTACTAATTTCCAGCCTCGACCGGATGCCCAGGCTGCATCTGATTGCAAAGTTGTTTATTGAAGGGTGCGTTATCTTTAAGTTTACTGAATTATCAACCCGAGTCTCTCTCTAATTTTTAAGAGAAGAGTACTTAAAGGGTGGTTGTAACACAGGTGCGTCAATTGAGTTCGAGGTGCACACTTCCGCTCTTTACCAACCACCCCATGAAAAAAAAGACACTGTCTCCCGAGTCTAGTTTAATTTGTAATTTATTTGGAAATAACGTATTTATTATTAGATGACATTTAATAAATAATTATGATTGATAAGAAAAAAAAACCTTTATCGAAAATCACTTTTAGTCAAGTACAACCATATCGGTTTATTATCTAGGACTTTCACGTGCAAATGAAATTAATTCTGGCCCCTTCATTTACTCATAGCATTTTTATGAGTTCGCATCTCAAAACATTCTGCATGTTTTTGAAACATATTTCTAACAAAAAGC